CACCTAAGTGTTCCTGTGACATAACGATGTGGGGACACTTTGGATGCCTTCAGCTGCCATTGTGTGCTTGCTGGGCATCCAGTGTGTCTCTGTGCCTTTAAGAAAGAGTGTTCTTTCTCCAGACAAACCTGCCCCTATCTTAATGCATTCCCTGCATTGCGGTAGAAAATGTCCCAGCTGTTGTATCGCCACTCCATGTCCCTAAATACACACCTGAATCCTATTTTAATCCAGTGGTGTACCCATCTACAACAGCACTTTCCTCTCTCTCCCTCGTCACAGGACATGGAGAAAGCAGTCTACATATATTTGCAAATGTGTGCAACTAAACCTTCGGTTTTAAACATGAGCTGTTAGACAGGGTCAATTTGGTTTGTTGCATCCTAGCTGGTAAGTGTGCTGGGAAATTTTATGTTGTTTGCAATAAGATAAAAAAAAAATGTCTACTTTGCTCTATGGGACAGAGTCTGATCAAAAAAGACAGTCTACAAAAAAAAACAGTAACAGTTTGTCCAAGCTATGGATCCCACTAATATACCCCTGCATGGTAACCTGCAACACCCACCTGAGTACATATCCAAACTCTAAAAGGGATTCATTAGTAAAATGACTCTAAGGATTATTTTCATGCCAACTTCCCTGGCAACAACTCTGCCACCACTTATTCCATTGAATCCAACTTCTGTGGACACTGTTACAGCACTTACTTCACTTTTCATATATAACTAAAATGTAAAAATGGTGACTCTAGGACCTATTGGGTTTGCTCTGTCAATGTAAAATCTAGTATTCCTGGCCTCAGCTAGCCATAATTTTCTTGTTGTCTGTAGAGCCTTTTGCCTGCTGTGGAAGAAGAATTACCCTTTATTTTATTGCCTATTGTTCTTTGTTGTATGATGGTTGAGACTGTTGAGTGAAACATGTCAGTGAGTGAGGTCCTGGCGGTGCCCTCTAGTATAATAAAGTTTTATACCAGATGACAGAGCAAAGTTGCATCCTTTTTGTTGATTGGCTGTGTGTGGAGAGAGTTGGAGCAAGTCTCTTGGCAGCCATAATAACACCTATTAGTCAGAGGACAGCACTGTGCTTGGCTGAGCTTGGCCCAAAGTACATTTTACCAATTCTATTGTCCTTTATGTAAGGCTTATAAAAGTCATTTTTTTTTCTGCTATGCCTCTATAATATAGTAGAACATTTCTATCCTTGGTTTAGACTGTTTGGATTTGCACTGGAACAACAAAACCCTTGCACTGGAACAACAACAACCCACCCTAGATAAGAGGGCTCAGGAGCACAAGTGTCAAGAGCACACATTTTACCCAGGTTTCCAAAAAAGATTATTACACCAGCTGTAGAGCCAGTGGAAGTAGGTCATTCAAGACTTTCCAAAGAGAAACATAATTGTTTTTGGGCCCAGAATATAAAATACTGGCCTAGAAACCTGATACACAGGAAAACTCTGTCCTCCAACTTGGAGTTTTTATTTTGTACCCAGAATAGTTACTTTCAGTGTGTTCATCTCTTGCAAAAAAAAAAATCAGTTCTGTTGTAGGCACCAATTTTATTGTTCAGGTACTTGCTACTAGATAACAGATTTCTTTATAGCACAACTGACACCCCCATGGTGTCTATTTACTAAAGCCGGAGAATGCAAAATCAGACTCACTTCTGCATAGAAACCAAGCAGCTTTCAGGTTTTATTTGCGAAGCTTAATTAAACAAGCTGAGGTTAGAAGCTGATTGGTTTCTATGCAGAAGTGAGCCTGATTTTGCACTCTCCAGCTTTAGTAAATAAACCTCAATGTATCAAAGATAATGCTATTCATTGACCCATCCATTATACTACAGGATCCTTTACCATGTACATCTTAGCCCTTCCTGAAGAATCACTACAATTCTTTGCATTTAATTCTGCCTTGCTGGGAGTTCGTTGGCTTTAACATCACACTTTCTTTTGTCAGTTGGGTGTTTTAATTTATTTTGGCTCTGGTCATCAGCAGCGCCTATTAAAAATCACACCTCTTTTAATCCAAAGATTTTAAATTAGTATCATTAGTAATTCCCTCATTAAAGTGGAACTCAAACTAAGACTTTTTTTTCTAGTTTTAAATACAAATCGTAAGGGTAAGCAATAAAAACCTGACAGATATTTTAACCCATTCTAACTCTTCTATCCAAAGGTAGAAAAAATGTCTTGACCTGAGTTATATCTACCATCATCTATCTCTGTCTACATTTTCTACATCTTTATCTAACATTATGTGCAGATCAAGGTGTAATTGATAAATCACTGTGGTCTGAATACACTGCAACAATAATTCTGTTACAACATACTATATATTAATTAGGCATGCAAACAGTGTTTTTAGTCTTCATTTACAAAGCATCCACTGTCTGCACTTTTGTATCACAGAGCTGGACTTGCCAAACTGAAAGCTGGCCCTAGTGATTTGGCTGGGTAAAGTGACTGCAGCAGGGATGCAAGATGCTTAGTTGAAGTTCATTTGGACATACCTCAAATTACCAATGTCTTCAAGTGGTTAAAGCAAGCAAACTCTTCCTTTGCCAATAACTAAAGAAACATCTCCCAGTTAAGAATTATTCATCTTATAAATAAATCACCAGTTTATTATTAGTGAGCAAAACTTTTACTCCACTCTGTAAAGAACCTAGACCCAATTACTCCACTACTAGTTGACACCATCTGGTCTCTTGAAGAGCAAAGAGAAGACGAAACCAAGTTGTCAATGACATGCATGTCAAAGGCTCTTCTGTCTATCTTACAACAGTCATGTGTCACTGCTCTGTACAGGACAGTATGTACATGTAATCTGCTAGCAGAAGGGTCACCCATTCATTAAAACTTTTTCTTTTCTGATTCCACCCTCCTCCCTTTAGCATAACTGGTGAATGTTTCCTAATTTTTGTAAAGGTCTATCACATTTTTTGTAATGTAGCCCAGCGCTTTCTGCTTCATTGCCTCTCCCCTAGGTGAGAAAAACATAGGGTCCCTTCACCATCCTGGAATGTCCATAACACATATCCTGGGAGGCCATGTTTAATTGAGATGTGCAAGGGGGCTGAGATATTTTACGCATGCACAGACATGGTGCCACTCTCTGTCAGCTTTTTTGGAACTAGCAGAGACCCAAAGCATGTATGCACTTAGGCTGGCCATACACTATACAATTTTCTGTCCAATTTCTGCCCAATTTCCTTTAGATTTACCTTCAACTATGTAGTGGAAGGGCCTGCCTAATTGGATACAATTGAAAGTGTTGTTAGGTTTGACCTCCTATTATATGGTTTTTGGTAAATCTAAACCAAAAATCTCGGGAAAATTGTATAATGTGTGGCCAGCCATACACAGGGTATTCCTGCACATGCACACACACACACACCCGTGGGTAGGTTTTGCATTTATCAGCTGCTACAAAGTTGCTGACAAATCCTTATGGCTCATTCTATCCATGAAGAACTATTAGCAAACAGCATGTTCGGACCACAAAAATAGTAGGACCTATGCAGTTGAAGTTGGGGTGAGCAGTTGTTTTTGTAGATGACAGAAATATGGCACATGCCCATGAGCTTGTTTGCATCATTTAAATCAACAAAGCTTCAAATGGGCCTTGACATTGTGTGCTAAAAATTGCACGTGTAGAAATTGCAGTAACCCTCCAACTATTATTATTCTGATGCATCCTTTGCATGACTGCTACTTACTATAAGACCAACATTCCAAATTAGCTGTTCAAGGCATTTTCATTTTAAAAACTGTAGAAATTGATAAACCAACATTTAGTCGCATGGCTTGAGTCTTATTAGAATCAAAAACATCACTACAAATTTCATCCTCATAGTTACTGTACATTTTTTTTCTATTTACTTAATCACTGACTTTTACACAAACTGCATCTATGCTCCATATTTCTCCATTTAACCACATCCACTTACAAACTATCATTATGTTCCTCATTTAGTAATTTACTTTTGTTTAAATTAGTTCATATAAAATATTATGAGGGAAAAAAGACTCAACTAGCCTTATCACTTGTTTATATAGCACATTGTAATTGGCATTAATTTCACCATTTATAGTCTATTTTATTATGTTAGTATGTGGCACTGGAATGTGGCATAATTACTGTAACACAGGGGACCTTAGACAATATATTATTACCAGTGACCAGAACATTTTGCATTAGGCTATGGAAGCAGTCCAACTAGAAAAAGATGAGTATCCTATACATAGATTATTAATTAGGTTACATACTTCGTATTTACTCCAGATCCCTGAAGAAGATGAGCTCTGTAGTAGTCAACTAGCCAGCAGGTAAATTTTTCAGTAGAAAAAATGTCCTCCTTAAAGTTATCTGCAGTCTTGGCTAAAAATGTCGAGCTATCTCTGGATTTGCTATGTAAATATGGCAAGTAGGTCTCTTATTATAAAAATATGGCAGAGAGGTAAATATGGCAAAAAAGGGCAGAAATTGCAGAGCTGTGGCTAAGTTAGCAGTTTCATATTGAAGTACTGGGAGTCCGTAATTTGAATCTCACTAGGAACACTATATGAATAGAGTTTGTGTGCTCTCCATGTTTTCATAGATCCCCTCAAAATGATTCAGTTTGTTAGGTTCAGTTGAAGCGTAAATGTGTAATATGCTTGTTTTAAGTACATGCGTACTTATGTATTACAGCACATTGTTGTAATTGTTGTAAAATTGTAATATGCCTATTATTGGTGGTCAGGAGAATAACATACAACAAAGGGAAAGCCGTCTTTAAGTAGTGGTCATGCAATGGCAAAATAAAATTCTTATTGCAGATGACTCCAAGGCACTTCTCTCAGCAGTTTCCCAAAACAGTCTCTTGAACTTTAGGGCCACACTCACTTAGGCTGGCCATACATTATACAATTTTCTTGAGATTTTTGCTTTAGATTTACCAAAAACCATATTATATGAGGTCAAACCCAAACAACACTTTCAGTTGTATCCAATAAGGCAGGCCCTTGCACTACACAGTTGAAGGTAAATCTAAAGGAAATTAGGCAGAAATTGGACAGAAAATTGTATAGTGTATGGCCAGCCCTAGTTTTGTCAGTGTATCTGACTCAAAGGAGTAGGTTTTCTAAAAGTGCTGCACTCAGAATCTGGTGCAGCGGTGCATGATAGTAAATCGTCTTCTAACCTCAGCTTGTTCAATTAAGCTTTGGCACTAGAACCTGGAAGCTGATTGGTTTCTATGCAGATGTAAGCCTGATTTCACACTCCCTAGCTTTAGTGAACCTCTTAATATCATCTCTGGAGAGGACTTTACTAAGCTATAGCTCATCACTGTCACTAGTGCCTCTACAGTACTGGCAATACATCACCCATCTCTCCCTTTTAAGCCTTCTCTGTAAAGAACCTCTATTTTAAAATTTAAAGGCTCCCAAATCTGACCAGCATCACCATTGGTGTTCACCAACTCTAAATTCTTGCACAACCCCTTCACCTTTGCAATACTGATATTATCTTCAGACAGGTGCTCTTTTATAGTGCATTTATAGCATGTAAGAAGTGTTTGCAATCCACACCACTGTCATTTGTAGAGTCATATAAACTCAGTCACAAATGTTTCTTTTTAATTGCACGGATGTCAGGTACTTGCAACTTCATGATTCAGGTGTTACAAAGGAGAGTGACAACAGGATTGCTTGCTCTTAAAACAAAACTATAGGTAAAACTTTTTATTTTCATTGTGGATAGAGTAATGGAGGGTTATAACCCCTGTCAGTTCTTTTTTTGTCATCTGTGTCCCATTGTGGAGATTTACCTTCGGTTCCTGTCCCATAGCCAAAACAGCAAGTGAGAGGAAATCCCTAAAAATTAAGGGAATCACTTGGAGTTCCCCAGGTCTCCAGAACTAGTGTCTCCATTGGAAGATTTCCCCTCTATTAAGCTGGCCATATATATGTTTGATTTTCGGACGAAAATATTTGTATGAAAAGTCGTGCGAAAATTCTTTGAACATTTGATGAATGGACGAATCTCATTCGAAAAATTGTCTTTTGCTTTTAACATTCGACTTTAGAATGAATATAACAATTACCACATACCCTGGCCAAAAATTTGTGAAAAAGTTTTTCCTCCTGCCCTGTCGAATTTTCCCTTCACTGCGGTCGAAAACAAACATCAATTTGACCCCAGTAACGATTAGAAAATCAAACGAATATCCTTGAAACAAAAATTCTTGAACGAAAATCTATATGTGTATGGCCAGCTTTACTGTTCTGGGGACAACCCAAAATTTAGGATTTTTTTTTACTTTCGCTTTCAATGATAATGGTAACCAGGACAAATAGAGAGGGTGAATCTCCCTAATGAGGAGACAGACAGCAATAAAAACCTGACAGGTGTTCTAATCCCTCTCCACTCTGTCCAAAATGTTAAAAAAAAATAGCTTTTAGTTATTAAAGTTTCAACAGATATATGGAACCATACAGAAAGGAAATTTGTAAAACGAAGAATGGAATAGGAAAGGGAAAAATAGGAAGTACATCATTTAGTTGCAGCCATGATCCTGGTACCATTTTTTAGAGCCGGTGACTGGCCTTTAGGTTTACTTTAAAAGCCCATTATACTTTTATTTTTTTCATTGATGATTTAGCTATACTAAGATTGTTTCTTGTTATTTTACTTTGTTAGGAGTGGTGACAGTGACTTACAATATCATTTGACGTTGCATATCTATGCAGTGAGTAACCCTCCCACCTAATTCAAATGCCAGTGAGGCTTACATACAAATCTAAAGAACCAAAAACATAAGCATTTAAACATTCTGAAACTTTGCTAAATACATATTACGTCTGCCCCAGACAGCTGTAAGGAGTTGTAGAACAATAGTTGATTCTGGAATAGTCTCACAAGGGTTTGAGAACTTCTGGGTGCTTTGCAATTGTTTGGGTGTTGGGTCATAACTGAACCAGAGTCAGAATTTTGCCTGAGCTAAGACAAAAGGCGAAGTGTTAAAATATGTAAAAATGTCACCATGCAACCCAAACAAATTTAAAAAAAATGAAAAAAGCCAGCCAGCACATGCTGTTAACTACCCACTGCAATATGAAATAAAATATAAAAAATGTGCAGCACTAAAATGATTTTAAAAGTGCAATAATAAAATAAAAAACTAAAGTTCAATTTCTCAGCCCAATGAATCTATAAATGTATAAAAATAAATATATACCTAACATAATAAATCAATTCATCAAGTGTCTTCCTTGGGTGTAACATCACTTTTGATGAAATGGTTGATTACACCTCCACACCAAAAATGTGAATCCTTACTATCGACCTCCAAACTATATGAGGTCTAAACAGGCACAGATAAGTAAAATGATGGTAATGATCGCTTCCAGCTTCAGCAGCACCTTATTCATAGCTCCCTCAGAACAATAAAATACATATAGTGCTCTCTATTTTAAACAATTTATTATAAGAAGAAACAATCCAAATGTACTGACATAAACATAACAATATGCAGTGCATCAAGTGTTAAACTTGCTATGAGGTTTGGGAACAAAAGAACCGCAAATATTGCAATCTTACTGCCGCCAGCAATCCAAATATCCACATGGTTGGCAAGAGACAGTGGGTGAGTCCATGTATCTGTCTGAAGAATCTGCATGTGCAAACAACCATGCAGTGTAGGTGGCATATTAATAGTCCTTAATGAGACAAGTGCGTGAAACCCAGAGAAAAAAACAGTGCATTAGCAAAAGCAGCAAATGAGAAATATAGTACAGAACTGCTAGTATTACTGAGAGAGACCTTAACTGAAGTGTACAGGTAGCGGTAGAGGACTATATTCACTGAAGTGATGTCAATGCAATTACATTTTAGGTCTGGATATACACTGCTCAAAAAATGAAAGGAACAATTTTTAATCAGAGTATAGCATCAAGTTAATTAAACTCCTGGGATATTGATCTGGTCAGTTAAGTAGCAGAGGGGGTTGTTAATCAGTTTCAGCTGCTTTGGTGTTAATGAAATTAACAACATGTGCACTAGATGGGCAACAATGAGACTACCCCCAAAACAGGAATGGTTTTACAGGTGGAGGGCACTGACATTTTTTTCCCTACTCATCTTTTCTGTTTTTCACTAGTTTTGCATTTGGCTTGGGTCAGTGTGACTACTGGTAGCATGAGGTAATAGCTGGACCCTACAGAGGCTGCACATGCAGTCCAACTCCTCCAGGATGGCACATCAATACGTGCCATTGCCAGAAGGTTTGTTGTGTCTCCCAGCACAGTCTCAAGGGCATGGAGGAGATTCCAGGAGATTCCTGTTAATCTAGGAGAGCTGGACAGTTCCGTAGAAGGTCCCTAACCCATCAGCAGGACTGGTATCTGCTCTTTTGTGCAAGGAAGAACAGGATGAGCACTGCCAGAGCCCTACAAAATGACCTCCAGCAGGCCAATGGTGTGAATGTCTTTAAGCAATCAGAAACAGACTTCATGAGAGTGGTCTGAGGGTCCCATGTCCTCTAGTGGGCCCTGTGCTCACTGCCTAGCACCATAGAGCTCAATTTGCATTTGTCTTTCAACACCAGAATTGGCAGATCCGCCACTGGCACCCTGTACTTTTAAAAAATGAGAGCAAGTTCACCATGAGTACATGTGACCAGGGGCGGACTGACAACTCATGGGGCCCCTGGGCAATAGGGGATCATGGGGCCCCTGTGTCCTTGCCCAAACTCAAAAAAACCTATGAAAAAGGTACCAGGGCATCTCATGGGGCCCCCTACTGACCCTCGGGCAGTGCCCCAGTTTCCAAATGGTCAGTCCACCCCTGCATGTGACATACATGAAAGGGTCTGGAAAAGCTGTGGAGAATGTTATGCTGTCTGTAACATCTCTCAGCATGACCATTTTGGTGGTGGGTCAGTGATGGTCTGGGGAGGCATATCCATGGAGGGACGCACAGACCTCTACAAGCTAGACAATGGCACCCTGACTGCCATTAGGTATCAGGATGAAATCCTTGGACCCATTGTCAGACCCTACGCTGGTGCAGTGGTTCCTGGGTTCCTCCTGTTGCACAACAATGCCCGGCCTCATGTGGCGAGAGTATGCAGGCAGTTCTTGGAGGATGAAGAAATTGACACCATTGAATAGCCCCCATGCTCGCTTGACCTAAATCCAATAGAACACCTCTGGGATATCATATTTTGGTCCATCCAACGCTGCCAGGTTGCACCTCAGACTGTCCAGGAGCTCAATGATGCCCTGGTCCAGACCTGAGAGGAAATACCCCAGGATACCATCAGTTGTCTCATTAGGAGCATGCCCCAATGTTGTCAGACATGCATACAAGCACGTGGGGGCCATACAAACTACTGAGTACCATTTTGAGTTGCTGCAATGAAATTTCATCAAAATGGACTAGCCTGCTGCATCATTTTTTCACTTTGATTTTTGGGGTGTCTTTGAATTTAGTCCTATGTTGGTTGATAATTTTCATTTCCATCAAACGATGGGGTATCCTTACATTCCTAACACATTACCCAGTTCATATCAGTATAGATATCCAGCATGATATTTTTCCCCACTGAGATCTGATGTGTTTTCAAAGTGTTCCTTTAATATTTTTGAGAGCAGTGTAAAAGGTCTTGTAATTAGCACCACATGGGGTAGCACAAATCAAGTGATATGAAGCAAAAGCATTTCCTAAGAAGGTTCCACTGTACTGAGGCTAAAAAAGAGATTCATGCTCAGCTTCGAGGTTCGATGAGTGAAACTTATTTTCCATGAAATTACCATTTTCACCTTCAACAAAATCTCTTGGAAGCAGAAACTTTGCCCATTGAGTAAAATATTTTAAAACATCAACTTTTTTTTTTTATTGAGAGAGTATTTTAGTGTACTATGGGTAGTTTAGTTGATTTAATTTAGCCTTTCTTTTTGCAATTTTCCATTTTTGTATTTGATTATTATTTGTGTACTATCAGCATACATTTAGTTTACTTTTTACATTGTTGTTTTTCCATTCCATTTTTTCGCCAAAAAAATTCACTGAAATTTTGAGGAATTGTAAAAACTCAATTTTGCTTGCTCAATTTCCTGTTCAAAGACCTGTAGATGATTAGTGCTGATGCTTAGATCTCCATGTAACATGGCCTAAACAACTAAAGCACTACCTCCATAGGAGTTGCTGAGTTTTCCCCCTATAGTTCTGCACAGCCAGGCAACACACAATTTCCATACAGG